GAGCTCCTGATGGTCAGAGCTGGATGAACCATGGACCTCCCTCTGCGTAAGGCAGATTCCTACTTTCTTCCTATTTATAGAACTTTCTGGCAAAGGCAGCAAATCTAGACATTTGCTTTCACCTATAAATTTCTGAGGTATAAAAATGAAGCTTGATAGCCGTAGGTGAGAGGGAAAATGTATCCTTTAGAGTCTGACATATGTTTACTGTAATTAGAACAGAAAAAAGACTTGAAAAATTGAAAGTGAAGGATCCATTGTTAGGAAGAAACAAAAGAAACAAAAACAGTTGGGGTCTTTAGTGTGTGGAAAACAGTTTCTCTTGCCCCAGGCCATGCAACAGTAGTTTAAAAGTCTGTTGCTGAGTTTACACATAGTGCCACGTCCAGAAAATCCTTAAAGCAAACTTCCAGACTCCATTTTATTACTTTGTACACAGTATGTATATCCCTCAGACAGAACAAGTTTACAAACTTTCCTCACTTTTGGACTCTGTTTTTCCATCACCTTCCCTCCCCCCCCCCCTTCTGCTTTGCTCACTAGGGCTGCTTTTAATGGGACTTCACCTCTCCGAGTGGACCTCTGCTTCAGCTCAGGAAAGTCTCGTCCGGCCTTTTGGATGTAATTCAGCAATTAGCCTTCGCCTGCCGAGCTGCTGGTTGTCAGGGCAACACACCTGATCCCCAGATGTCAGCGCTTGGAGTCTGCTCAGCAGAGCAATCCTGGCACTGTCTAGCTCTCTTTCCACGATGCTATCACTATCATTTTTATTTTATTATTCCCTGCTTGTCTGTGTGCTGATATGTACTATGAAGAAAGCTTACTTTTTGCACCTTCTTGATGATATATTGGCACTTGGGCTACACATTAAAGGAACCACTTTAACTGCATTCCTCAGATGCTGCTTTGTGCACAGAATTAGAAATCTCTCGGCTACCAGATTAGTCAACAGATTCTTGCAGTTCTCTTCCCTATATGCCCCATGCTGATGTTCACACAGTCAATTATGTCATTATGTTCTCTGGACCGTTTTTCAATAGCATTGTCAGTAAACTCCATCTAAAAGGTCATGGCTTAGTGTGCGCATGTTGGCTCCCAAGTAGGAGTAATAATAATAATAATTTATTATTCAGACCCCGCCCATCTGGCTGGGTTTCCCCAGCCACTCTGGGCGGCTTCCAACAAAAGATTAAAAATACATTATTACTTTCCTCCTCCCAGGCTTTTCAGGTCAGCTCAACAAAGCAGCTAAGGCAACATTTGGCATGTATGGCATCCAAACCCAGGATCTCCTCCTTCACTGTAATCTGTAGCCAGGTTTTGTCAGGGAATACAGTGTGAGGTACTTTTGAAGATACAGATGGTGACCATTTTAGGCACATTCAATTGCCACCCAATTGCCTATGTGTGGGACCTTTTGGACCTGGAAGAAGAGAAGAGAAATGGGTGGGGCAGAATGGGGCCGAGGTGGGGTGTAACAGGGGGTGCTCTTATGCATGCTTCAATGCACACAGGGGCTGGGAATGGAAGCCCCATGCAACATTGTTGCTGCCTGTAGTTGTATAGGATCAGGGTGTATTATCATTGTAAGCCCAGAAAGAAATTTTCATTGGCTACCCTGTTCTATCTTTTGCGAAACAATCTAATGACTGTTCATATTCTTTAAATTACCTAAGGATGTAGTCTTGTGCCATGTCAGAGCCCCGGTCCACTTACTGTGACTGAAAGTAGGTTTCCAGGGGGGTCAGACAGGAACCTTTCTGCATCCCTACCTGGAAATCGCACGGATTGAGGCTGGTAACCATTGCAGGCAAAACCTGTGATTTGCCACGGAGCTCCTCTTTCTGCTCCATGTATTCACAGCACATGGACTTGCACTGAGCACAAAGGTCCCACCTCACAGGCCTCGTCTTCTACAGGATATTTGCCAGCATTGTAAGTGTGATCCTTTTCACTTGTTTGAAATTACTCAAATGCAATTTTGCAGACTCATTTATCATACTTTGTAAATGAAGATGGTATAATTTATGGCTTCCATAATCACTGCCTGAGTATTGAAACAGTTTGACTTGCTCAAGTATTTCTCTTTGCCCGACAACCTCACATTTAAGGACAAGATTCTCAGTCCTGCACCTTTAACAGTAGCACCATACTGACAAATATTGAAAGGATGAAGCTTTGGAAATTAAATGTTGTTCATATTTTTAAAAGATTCTAATGCAGTTGTTGATCAGTACGATACAACAGGCATGATTGTGTCCTATGTCACATGAATAGACAATTCCTGAAGTTCTATGTCACTTGGGTAACATGTAAAAATGAATGGGAATTGTGCTGTTATGTAGATCCTATTCCTTTCCTATTCCTTTGCAAAGGAAAATGTGCATGTGACCGTGCCAAAATTAAGGGCGTTTAGCCAGGAATTTTGCCTGGGTTGAAGCCTCCAGAGGGTTATTTCATGGATTCTCCCACACTAAACAATTGCAATTTGGTATCTTTGCTGAGCTATCCCCTGTAACCCTCCTATTTTAATCACCAGGGAGGCAAATGTCAGTCTCTGCTGCAGAGCACACACTGGCCACCCCCCAGGCCTAACCACCATCCATTTGGGTGCAATGTAAGCTTCCCCCTTGGCTCTGGCTTGCATGGAAAATCATGCAGCTTAGCCTTCTAAGGGTTAAAATTAATGACTTTGTTCATAGACAGGAGAGGAGAATCTGGGAAGGAAGAATCATTCTGCCGAGGAAATACTATTTTCTCCTCCACTCTAGCCCCAAAGTCATTTTCATGGCTTTGCACAAATTCAGTGAGCCTGTTCCTGCCAAAACGGTATTCCCACCACACCTGGCTGGAGTGAAGCAGCTTCTGTCACTCCTGAGTGCTACATAGGGACCCCTTCCTGGGCCTGGTGAGCTCCCACTCCCAACCTTTGTGCATTTGGGCAAAGAGACTCCCGGGACTGAAAAGAAGGGTGCTAAGAAGATCTGTCCAGCGGGAAAGTGGGTTGGGGCCCAGGAGACTTGTGGGTCCCACCAAATAATCAGGCAGCAGAGTTCTACCTGTGCTCTTTCCAGATACAGTGAGGAAATGTTACTTGTTATAAGTTATGTTGGATATTTTGTGGTGTAAATTATGTTGGAAACCAATAAAATATTATAAAAAATAAAACCTTTGTATTCAAATAATATACTGCCTACTTTTTATATTGCCCTTTCAGAACAAATGTGTTCAGGGGTAGGTGCCTGTACACATATGCAAGCAAACATGTGGAAGGGGTGTTTGGCCAACTGAGATTTTGACCAGGTGAAAGAAAGCCTAGTTTCGCCCCTGCATGCGAATTATGCCTCAAGGTCAGATACATCTCCCAACTTGCCACCCTTAATTGTAGCTAAAATCCAGTAATTTCAGGTGGGTGGATCATTTCACCAAGTGCTTTTTTTTTTAAAAATAATTTTTATTAAAGTTTTAAACAAAGAAAAAAGAAAAAACAACACACACAGAAAAACAATACAAAATTTAACAATAAAAACACAAAACATAACAATTAAAAACAAACTCTCTTTTCCATTCCCAATTTTAAATTACTTATTTTCTGGACTTCCTCATACCTCCCTCTTTTGTATTCCAATCTACATTATTTGTCCAGCAGTTTCTTTTCCACTTTTTTAAACCCAATCTTTAATTTAATAAAATATTAAAATATATAACTTCAACTTTTTTTAAAACATAATCCTTGTTCTTAATGTCATATACCTTTAAATTTTTCCCTTTTATTATCAAATTTCCATTTCTTTAAACATCTTTAATCTTGATCTTAAATCTTAATCTATCCTTAACTTTAACCTGTACAGCTGGAAACCACTTATTTTCAATCCAACATCACTCTAACATTCCTTAATTTTGCAATGTTTCTGAAGATAGTCTTTGAATTTCTTCCAGTCTTCCTCCATCGACTCTTCTCCCTGGTCAAGGATCATTTCACCAAGTGCTGAGGTTAACACAGGAGTGGTGGGAGGAATGTTTTTAAAAAGACTGGCGCTCAGCTGCAGGGTGAGTACACAGCCTCACTTGTTCCAAGTAAACAAAGAAAAAAGGTTTTGCTAACTTTTCATGCCTGAGCCAAAAATATATAAAAATGCAAACAAGACAACAACCCTTCACAAGCCGTAGCCAAGTAATCGCTACATATGTATATCCGAGACTTGGTGCTGTATTTCTGTTTTTGATCAGAGAAGAAAATTGGCACACAAAAAACCAAATTAAAGCAATCATGTTTCAAAAGGATATCCTGTCTCACATTTTGAGGTGAATTATGTACGAATTGCTGGTGAAGCAAATACTAAAAGTAAAGCTGAGAGTCTCCCATCCATACTGAAAAGGTAGAGAAAATTCTTCATTTTCACAGGTAAAAAAAGAGAAATTGTTGCCAAAACTCTAGAAGAGTCTCAGAATCATGATAGCATGAAAAGACATATTCTAATCATGTCATAGTCATGCAGGCTTCCTGTGATATTGACTTTTTTCAAGATGCTATGAAATATTTATCAATTTCTGATAAAACATTTACATATTCATATATACTTTTATTAATGTGCTGTGAAACAAGAATAGAATCGAGGCACAAAACAGTGGGAGAGTTATAAGAATACCTTCTTAACTAACATTTCCATAGAAACTCACAAACATTTTCAACTTGAAACATTTTTGTTTCAGTTTGCAAGACCTCATCTTACTCAGAACCTGGGCTGTACAAGTACTTTAACTGAATTAACTCATCGTGCTGCAATTAATCAAATATATTAAACAATGATTAGTATTGCTTCTCATCAGAGTGCTATACAAGCATGGGAGGGTCAGGTTCAAATTCTGGGGAACCAGCCTCGTATAACCAACATACTTAACTCTAACTAATGCATAGGATTGTAGAGTTGGGTCATCTGAGGATCATAATCACCTGAGGATTATCTAGTCCAGCCCCCTGCAATGTAGGAATATGCAGCTGTCTCCCACAGGAATCAAACATGCAACCTTGACTTTATCAACACCATGCTCTAACCAACTGAGCTATCCAGGCTTGGGCATGAAGGGGTTAAGACCATAGAGCAAGCTATGCTGCCAGGCTTAGCTAGGTCACTCCCCATCATTTTGAGAGGTCCAGGTAAAAAGGTCTGAGCTGGTTGCTCCAAGCTCAGTATGCATGGCTTAAAAGCCATCTTTGTGCTTCTATACAAATAATTTAGAAACATTTGCCACATGGGATCCTAAGCTTTACTGCCTGTGAATGAATGAACTTTATTACGGTCACAGACCAGGATAAAAAACAAAAAACATAAATAAAATAGCAGTTAGGATTTTTTTAAAACCGATAATTGTTAGAGCAAATAAGGACAAAGAAACAAGGATTGGATAAAACATCTGAATAAAATACAAGATTAAACATGGATAATGGATGGATAAAAGCTGATAATTAAAATAGATAAGAACTAAAAACAAATAAAAACACACAGTTAAGACAACTGGGAGCAATGATCTTACTACGTGCCTCTTCATAAAAGGGACATCTAAAGAGCAAGTGTTCTGGGCTTCCTATCTCTTCCAATGGACAGGTGCAAAGTCTCTGAGCATAGGGGACTTTTCTAAAGGCTCCATCCAGGACCGGCAAGGGAAGAGCCGAGCTTCTGGCGAGTGTAAAGGCCCTTCTTGCATCCCTGGATACGAGAAAGAAGAGATATGCTGCTGGTGCGGCTATGTATCTCTCGATTTCTCCAATTTTATAGTCGGGGCACCTTGCGCAGTCCTGTTGTCTCTCAGTGTCTACTATTCTTTGCCTGACCCTAGCTTTTGCCTGGCCCAAGCCCAGACTTAGAAGGGCTTGAGGGGCAAAACCCAGTTTCCGGAGGGTGTTCAGGACTGCAGTCTGCCAGCCTGACTGGAATTGGTCGCAGAGGATCAATGGGGCTATCCCTCGGGGGAGCAGATTCAATGTCAGCCATTTGTAGATTGATGTTAGGCAGATGCTAGCCTCCACTCTCATCATCCCCGTTTCCAATCTAACCCATGCGTTTGAGACACATCTGGGGACTTGGAGGAGAACTCTAAGAAGTCTAGATTGAACTCTCTCAAGGGGGGAGAAAGCAGAGGAAGGCGGGCCCCAAAAGGAACCATACAGGAGTTGTGCCAAAGTTTTGGCCTTGTATAATTTTAGAGCTGCGGGGACAAAGAAGTCCCCTTGTGCTCTGCGGCATGTAATGCCTTAAGAGAGAATATTATGAAAATGATATACAGGTGGTACATAACCCCAGTCAAGCTTGCAAAAATTTATCATTTGCCCGATAACAAATGTTGGAAATGTAAAGAAATTGAAGGTACATTTTTTCACCTTTGGTGGACGTGCCCAAAGATCAAGGCTTTCTGGGAAATGATATATAATGAATTATAAAAGGTATTTAAATATACCTTCCCTAAGAAACCAGAGGCCTTTCTCCTGGGCATAGTCGGCCAAATGGTGTTAAAAAAGGATAGAACTTTATTTATGTATGCAACAACAGCAGCAAGAATACTCATCGCAAAGTATTGGAAGACACAAGAACTTCCCACGCTGGAGGAATGGCAGATGAAATTAATGGACTATATGGAACTGGCGGAAATGACTGGTAGAATCCGTGACCAGGGAGAAGAGTTGGTGGAGGAAGATTGGAAGAAATTCAAAGACTATCTTCAGAAACATTGCAAAATTAAAGAATGTTAGAGTGATGTTGGACTGATTATAAGCGGTTTCCAGTTGTACAGGTTAAAGTTAATGATAGACTAAGATTAAAGATTAGGTTAAAGATGTTTAAGGAAATGGAAATTTGACAATTAAGAGGTAAAATTTCAATGTTATATTACATTAAGATCAAAGATTAGGTTTAAAGAAGTTGAAGTTATATATTATATTAAAAGTAAAGATTGGGATTAAAAAAGTGGAAAAGTAATTGCTGGACAAACAATTTGGATTGGAATACAAAAGAGGGAGGTATGAGGAAGTCTAGAAAATAAGTAAATTCAAAAACGGAAATGGAAAAGAGATATTGTTTTTAATTGTTATGTTTCTTTTTATTGTTGATTCTTGCTCTTCGTGTTTTTTTTATTTTCTTTCTGGGATTTGTATTGTGTATTTGTGTATCTTTTTTATTTTTATTTTTTCTTTGCTGTTTAATTTTTGATTGAAACTTTAATAAAAATTATTTTAAAAAAAAGAAGAAGAAGAAGTCCCCTTGTGCTCTGAAGAATTTAAGGATACAACTTGTGGTTTTTCCCGCTGAACTCCCGATGGAATTTATGTGTAGTTTGTTGGTTCCTGAGGCCTGTACCACCATTCCTAGATACTTATAGTTTGTGACTTGTTCTAATTTATGGCCTTGGAGTTCCCAGCTTCTGAGCTATGGTTTTTCCCCAAAAGCGAGTATCTTGGTCTTTTGATAGTTGATTTTGAGACATTCAGATTCACAGTATGCTGCGAGCTTTCTTAGTGCTCTTTTGAGTCTAATGGGGGTTCTGGATAGAATTACCACATCATCGGCATATAGCAGGACCGAAATATGCCGATTTGCAAGCTTTGGCGGGTGGAGTTCTGAGTCACTGAGTGCAGATACTAAGTTATTTAGATAGAAATTGAATAGTAGAGGGGCCAATAGGCACCCTTGCCTGACTCCTTTGAAGGTTTTAATAGGGTCCGTTAGGTGTCCTAGGCAGCTGCACCTGACTCTAAGAGCTGCGTTTGCGTGCAGTGCCTGAATTAAGAGCAGGAGCCTTCTATCTATATTGGTATCCCATAGTCTGTCCCAGAGTCTTTTTCTGGAGACTGTATCAAAAGCTGCTTTTAGGTCAACGAAGGCAGCGTATAGTGAGGCCTGCCCTCCTGATTTGTATTTGTCGATGAGATGTTGCCTAACGGGCAGTGATCTGTCGTGGACCTTCCGGGTCTGAAGCCCGCTTGTTCTATTGCCAGGATATCTTCATTCTCTAGCCATTCTGTAAACTTATTAAGGAGGTGCTTTGCGTAGAGTTTACTAATCACACTTAATAGGTTAATCGGCCTATAATTCGCTGGGTCCCCTCTGTTGCCCTTTTTATAGATTGGAACTATTATGGCTGTTCCCCATTCCCTTGGGATGCGGCCAGTGTCATCTATGTAAGTGAAGAGGGTGGCTAAGAAAGGTGCCCACCAATCCGCCTGTGCTTTTATCATTTCTGGTGTACAGTGGTGCCTCGCAAGACGAAATTAATCCGTTCCGCGAGTATCTTCGTCTAGCGGTTTTTTCGTCTTGCGAAGCAACCCTATTAGCAGCTTAGCGGCTTAGCATTATTAGCGGTTTAGCGGCTATTAAAGGCTTAGCGGCTTAGCTGCTAAAAGGCTATTAAAGGCTTAGCGGCTTAGAAAAAGGGGGGGGAAGCGGAAAAAAATCTCAAGACTCGCAAGACATTTTCGTCTTGCGAAGCAAGCCCATAGGGAAATTCGTCCTGCGAAGCGCATTGAAAATGGAAAACCCTTTCGTCTAGCGGGTTTTCCGTCTTGCGAGGCATTCGTCTTGCGGGGCACCACTGTAATGCCGTCTGAGCCTGGGGCTTTGGCCGTTTTCAGTTGGTTTATATATGATTTCTATAATGATATGGTTGCTCGTGCGTAAGTTGCCGCCTCTCCTGGCTATGTTGCCTTGTTAAACCTTTCTGTCTGGACAGCCCTTCAATTCGTGGCTGCCTCAGTCGCTAGCAGAAACCGTCAGTGGGCGTTTCTTAAACCTTTTCCAACATAAAAGTTGTTTGACACCCAGTCTCCTCCTACTTTCTCTGCGCGGAAGTCTTCTGCGCAGGGAGGGCATGGGTAGCGGAGGACCAGTGCTCTCCCTGCTGGTGTCCGGTGAAGAGTCTGGGAGCCCTCTCGCCGATTCCCCCATCTGCCCCTCCTTATTCCTGGTGTTGCACTGAATTGCTTCCCCATCTGCTGAGCTGCCTCTCTCCCTGCTGGGCCCTTCTCCAGCGTCATTGGAGAGCCTTCCCTCCACCTCTAGCTCCGATGTCAGTTCCCTGACAATTTCACTTCAGTTACTGAAACTGGCGGCCATTTAGCCAGCTGTTCTATATTATAATTCCGTAGTGGAGGTTCAGCGTCCTCGTACAAAGATTGGAAGAATGAGACCCACAGGCTAGGGGGAATTTGTGAGGTTAAGGGGGGGAAAGCTTTATGGGTTCCAGAAGCTACCAGTTTCCAGAATAGTGTCTGATCTTTTGCTTTTGCTGTACTGTCTGTGTTTTCTGACTGCTGTATGGAAAAGCACATGAATCTGAACTTTGAAGAGTTTGTAAGTAAACCATTTTTAGTTTACTAAATATGTGGTCTCTTTCTAAGGAACAGGGAAAACTTTGAAAATAACTTAGAAGTAAGTATTTTAAAGGTTTAAGAGCTTATGTACATTTTACTTTGCTGCATGTTTGGTGATTTTAAGTCTCTGCTGGGGTTCTCTCACTAAAGACTACTTGCCCCAAACATGGATCCTGGCATCCAGGAACTCTTTTTTATATACCTATTGTCAGGGAACTGCCATCGGAGCTGGAAGCGGAGGGAAGGCTCCAAAGGGATGGCGGAGAGGGTCCCAGTAGGGAGAGAGGGAGCCCGTCTGCTGGGGAAGGAAATCAGCGTAACACCAGTAGAGAAGGGGGCAGATGGGGGAATCGGAGAGGAGGCTCCACGACTCCTCGCCGGAGACCAGCGGAGAGAGTACGGGTACTCCACTGCCCACACCCTCCCTGCGCAGAAGACTTCCGCGCAGGGAAAGTAGGAGACAGAACGATTGGGTAGAGAAACTAGCGCTGGCTGAATTTGCGTACAATAACGTTGAACATGTGTCCACGGGCATGAGCCCGTTCATGGCCAATTATGGGTGTCACCCCAGGGCCTTCCAGGGCGGGGGGAGGAAGGGTGGAGTGTACCTGCGGCAGAGCAGTTTGTGGAAGAAATGGAGGCATTGCACCAGCAACTCAAGATGAACTTGGAGCGGGCCAAGGAAGTTTATAAGAGGCAGGCAGACAAGCACC